TTTTTTTTTTATATTTAAATAATCATTTAAAATATTTAGGCAATCAAAAGCTCCTCGGGATTCCAGTAAAATTAGTTTGAATGGAGCGAGATATGTTCGCCTTATGTCGATATACATTTATACGTATGTAATTATATAAAATGTATGCAAAGAAATTTTTAATATATTTAAAGATAACTACGAAAAATAAATCGGGAACGGAAAGTTCATCAAAAATCTACCAAAATGAGAAAAAATTTACCTTTTTACCAACCCAATTTTTTTCTACCAATTTTGGTAACAATTTACCAAAGTGGCAACCCTGGTTGAAATTAAGCTTGGAAACCCAGAATAAGCCAAATAAGCAATTCCAAGCAAAAGCTTAAAATTTTCGTCCCGGGGCGTCTTATGGATGCACACAATCGAAATTATTTCAAATTGCTTATAAGATTTTGATTTTACCACTTTTCCGTATTAGTATTGTCAATATGGTCGATGGCTTAATGTTTGTTTGATAATTGAATGAGCTTTAAAACTGCATCAACGAAGACAAATTGTGGACAATCTACTAGATGCACCAAACAGTTAGACAATAAGGTATTCAAAAAATTAATAGTCCTATTCAAAAGGTAGCATTCAATAATTTTGTTGTCCATTTAAATCCAAATAAATTATTATACTGTTTAAGCCTGTCCTGTAAAACTTGCCTTTTACCGCTTTCGGTAAAATCGAAAATAGGGGTCGATATGTATATAGTAATTGCCATTTTATAGTATATTTTGTATCACTTTGTAACAATTTGAACTGAAGCGCGTTTCTGCGTTCCCACGACAGTCGGGTCTACGTAACCGGAACGACCCAGATTTATATCTGGCCAAGGACTGTCACTCCAGCAACACTCCCCAAAAAGTCTTTGGGGAATTTGTATGCTGCTACAACAACAACAACAAGCGCGTTTCTGATATACTAATGAACCGATTCTTGTACAAGTTCAAATATTTTCTAGACGCATCGACATTTGGAGCGGTTTACAGCCTTGGTACATATGAGCAGTTTATTTTGGAAGTGACATTTCAGGCCGTTTGACTTCATTGATCGATCATTCAACTGTGCCTGAACGCGTCTGTTATTCGTACAGGTTCATCAGATAAAGGTAAAGGTTATGTCATTAGCTTACGACGGTAGAATAATTTACAGATGCATTCAGTTGGAAGTAACTAACAATTTAGAAATTTAGAGAAGGAAACGAATTATGCCACCTTGAAGATAAACGGCGCATATGTACGCGTTATATACATACATAGTTCACTTAAAATTTACCTAATATGGCGAGTTTTAAAACTTTCGTCCGCCGATTTATATGTTCGCATTTACAAGCTATGTATTCAGATACATCCTTTTTCTCTTCTAAACTTCTCCGATTGAACTGCAAAACATAAAAAATTATATGAATACACTTGACATGCATATACAGTACATATGTAAGTACTATGTGTACTAGATTTTATAGTTTCGTACCTTAAATACAACAATATCGCCCACTGCAGGCATAGATGTAAGTGGTGTACAGAAAGGAAGCATCTCAGTGGCGCTCATTGCGCTAATGCTTTTGTTTAGGGTTTCTGAAAGCCTAGAAGTATTCGGCGTCATTTGAAACGGCTGTTGTTGATCATCAGCGTCACTCAAATCAATCACGTCTTCATCATCATCTAAATCTATAACACAGCTCTCCTCCAATTCCAAAGAATTATTAGATGCAGCCGTTGTGTTTGCTGTTATTTTAACGAATGATTCTTCTTGGACTATTTCAGCTTCATTGTTGGCCGGCTCTTTTTGAGATTTACTTTCATCGCCAGAAGGCTCAGTCATTGTATGATTTGCACTCGAGTTTCTATTTTGATTATTTTCGCCTGCAATTGAGATATGTTTTTCATCAGCTTTTTCTTTACTTTCATTGCTCGAATGTATTATTTCTTCCATGGCTTGTTTTGTTGTGGATTCTAAATCGCTTGTTTTTTCCAATTCGCTTGTGATGCTTGCGTTTATTTCTGCTTTTTCAGTGAGCTCAAAATTATTATTAGTATCGTCCTTTGTGGATTTTAGTTGGTCGTTACTTTCCATATTATTTACGTTTTCTATATCACCTTCTGCTTCGACATTATTTGAATTTTCTGCAGCCACAAAAGTATTAGACAAAATGTTTTTCTCAAAATCGTTATTCAATGGCTTGGCAAGTTCATTTTTGATTAAGATGTCGATATTGGCGGGCGGTAATAGTATATTTTCTTGAATATCTATTAGAGGTTTCCGAGCTTTACGGCTTCTGTTAATTACTTGTAAAGGAAAAACCAAAGGCTTTGTAATATCATTATTCAAATGGCATTTAAAAATTACTTTTGGCGATTTATTTTTATCACGAGTGGATGTGGTATTAACTGGATTAGTTTGTTTATTTGTTGTCGACTCTACGATAGTTGAATCATCAAAATATATGTGCGTGTTTTTGCCGATTGATTTTGAATTGGTAAGGAAAGTCGACGAGCAAATTTCCAGCTGCATTGTTTCAGAATTTACTATAAAGAATCGTTTTAATTATTGGGAAGTATAAATCATATATCAATTCATAATACAAATTTAATAAGTTTTTATTTTTTTTTTATTTTGTACAGTTCTGCATCGGTTCTCAACCTGTTGGTCGCGAAAGGGCTACAGGTCGCGAATCAATCCTAAACATATCAGAAACAATTGAATAAACCATCAGAAAGTTGACGTGTTAGCTCAATTGAAACAGTCCCAAAAATCTCATTAATATTGTATGTAATAATAATAATAGATTGGCGCTTGCACATATGTTAGGGGATAGAGGGAGGAAAATACAAATAGTTTTGAAGGATCCAATCGATGTTATACATTTAATTTAAATTGGTATTGGGCTCCAAATCCTGATAGCTAACAAAAAACAATCTAGACGCCGGTAAATTTTTGTACCTTGGGACAACAATATTGTGTGTACGAGATGATTTTACAAAAACTAACAGGGACGGAAATAATCATTATTTTTTCAATTTTAACCAAAAAAATCAACAATTTGTAATCGCTGTAAAACCATTTTATTTATACCCACGTATTTGTTTTCGTACGTCCCACTGTAATTTACAATGATTATTATTTTTCGAGTTTAACCAATAAAGATTAAAAATAATAATAAATAATTGAGTTTTAATTTTTCGCTCAAAGGTAATTATTATTACTTGATTTTTATATTTTCGATCAAAAATATTGATTATTTTATGATTTTTATTTATTCGCTCAAAGATAATAATTATTATTGAGTTAAATTTTTTTCACTTAAGAATAATGATCATTCCAAAAAATAGAAATCTGTACCATCGCGGTTTCCGTCGTATCCTTTTCAGAGGTAGCGACACCCTAATTAAAGGAATAACTCTAAAAATTTGCAGGTAAAAATTTCAGCAAGTTGCGTCTGTAAAGCCTTTGCAATTTTATAAATAATCACTATTTTTAAGTGGAAAAATAAAACTCAGCAATAATTATTATCTTTGAGCGAATAAATAAAAATCATAAAATAATCATCATTATTTTTGATCGAAAAAATAAAAATCAAATAATAATCATTTCCGTCGAGCAGAAAAATAAAAATCAATGATAATTAATATTTTAGAGCGAAAAAAATAAAACTCATAAAATAAT